GTGGTGCGGGCCTCGGGGGGGGGAGTTCCGGCAAGACGGACGGGGGCCCGCGGAAGGCAGTGTTCCAGCCAGCGGTCTTGGGACTGTGCCCTCGTGTCTTACGGGCTTGATTTCAGAAGTGCAGGGACTGAGAAAAGAAGCGGGTGAAAAGACAGCACAGTCTTGACATTTGCGAAGGCCACCACGTTCTTATAAATGATCCGTCGGGAGTATCCCGACCGTGGAGACCTGGACCAGGCCTTCTCACGTGTGAAATTGTGTCTGTCCTCGTTAGTGAAGTTGTCCTAGGAACACCCTCTCATCCGCTCGCGGGACCGTCCAGTGAGGAGTGTGGGTAAGGCACTTAGCAAACACCCGGCTCAGAGTAGGTGTTGGGTGAGGCTTGACTTGAGGTCCAGGGAGGGAGTGGAAGGACGAGCGTCTGGCCTGTAACTGCTCATTTCTGGGACCGAGCCCCCCCCTAGATTTACAGTTCTTTACTGGAGTCAGAGGCCTCCACATTTCTCAGCTCTCAAGAGTACCTTGTGGAAGCTTTTATCTATTTCATAAAACTGATATTAAAAAGAAAAGTTTTTTTGAAATGAAAAAATTATTCAGTATTTAAGTCTGTAAATCTGAAGACATCCACTGTTTTAGTAATATTGCCCTCTGTTGGATTTTTTTTTACTCATACAAGAAAGACCAGAAAACTATAACTGTTGTACCATACCCTGAGAAAAGCAAATAATAATATTTCTTTAGACTTTTGGACTTTTTTTTTTTTTTAAGGAAATGTGACATTTCAGTTACAGTTTAAGTTCTTTTTTGCCACCCCACCCCCCACAGCTTCTTCAGTTCTAACTTGTCTTTCCACTGTGGCTCACAGGACTGACTTACCTGGTGGGTGTTTGTGCTCACAGAAGCTAGGTGTCCTCCCTTCTCATTCCCAGTCAGCCAGCAGGTTTGCTTGTTAGAGCTTGTCCAGAGGGCTGTGGCCACCATGTGGTCCTGTCCTCCTGGCATTGGTTCTCTTGCCCTCTTAAGAAACCTGCCGACTCTTCGCCCTCCCATCTCCTGTTGGGAGAGCTCACCATAGGCTTTTCCAGACTGTCACCAGCTGAAAGCATATGCTGTCTGATTGGTCTTTCTTGGGCCACTGATCCCTTTAACATGGTCCACTGTCTTTATGCAGGATAAACTTTTCCTCACTTTCCAGGGGCAGTGACGTGCGTTCACACTTCCAGGAAAAAGTGGCCTTCCACAGTCAAATATATCATAGTTTATAAAATGACATTCTCAAAATTCATAGTAATAGCTGCCATTTTCTGAACATGCAGGTATCAGGGTTTTTAACCAAGCACTTGGTGCACACTGTTTGTTTAATTCTCATATTACAATTATGCCACAAGTGGTGATATTCCCATTTTAAAATGAGCAAACTGAGGCTTAGAGTAGCTGTTGGCAACAATTTGAGCCTAGAGTTATCTCTACAGTATGTGATTGTTTTGCCACCAATAGAAAAAGAGGTTTGTTCCATTGTCAGGGCAGAACAGACTGTGTCATTCACACAGGCTCTCTCCAACCTTCTTGCCCACAGCCCCAGCCCCCCTCAGGCGCAGGGAGCCCCTGGGCGGAGCCTCCTTCAGCAGAGCGGAGATGGCCTCAGTGGACTTCAAGACTTACGTGGATCAGGCCTGCAGAGCCGCTGAGGAGTTCGTCAACGTCTACTACACCACCATGGATAAGCGCCGCCGTCTGCTGTCCCGCCTCTACATGGGCACGGCTACCCTGGTGTGGAATGGAAATGCCGTGTCAGGACAAGAGTCCTTGAGTGAGTTTTTTGAAATGTTGCCCTCCAGTGAGTTCCAAATCAACGTGGTAGACTGCCAGCCTGTCCATGATGAAGCCACCCCCAGCCAGACTACAGTCCTCGTCGTGATCTGTGGAACAGTGAAGTTTGAGGGCAACAAACAACGGGACTTCAACCAGAACTTCATCCTGACGGCCCAGGCCTCGCCCAGTAATGCGGTGTGGAAGATAGCTAGTGACTGCTTCCGGTTCCAGGACTGGGCCAGCTAGTGGGGGCAGGACAGGCCTCTGCCTCAGCCCCAGCTCTGTAGGGAAATGCAGATCGCACAATGTGGGGACACAAGTCCTCTCTGTGGTTGCAGGCTACACCGCCAGGCTGTGCTCTGTGTTTGCTCGAGCCCCAGGAGCCTTTCTGAGCATATACTTGTTTGTCATAGTTGCCTTTTCAAAGTAGTAAAATTTTCTATTTTTCTATTTGCACAGTAGAGACCCTGGTTCTGGAAATTCTGACAAATAAAAACTAATATCAATGTTGTGTATTTTCCCTTGCCTGATATGTTTGACTAGGTTTTGAGGAGGGAGGAGGAGAAGGAGAGTTAAAGGCAGGAAGCTTAGTAGAAAGCACTTGCAGAGGTGTGAGGCCAGGACCAAGCACCCACCCCAGTCACAGTGTGCACACAGGTGTACTGAGCCAGGGTTTTTAGCGCTCTGCACACTGGAATCCCTTGGGACACTTTGAAAATGACCTTTGCCTAGGCCACACAGCCCACACCACTACACCCGAATCTCTGAGGGTAGGGGCTAGGCATTGGCATTTTTCAAAAGCACCCTAGATGTCTTAACACGTCATTCACTTTGGAGTACATCCGAATCACCTAATGGAGGTGGCTGGGCCCTGCCTTAGAACCTTAGCTGAGGGTGGAATGAGAATAGGTGAAATATTAGCTAATGACTGCTTATAAATGAAGCAGCCATATTAATGACTCTTGTAAAGAAAGTGAAGAACTGAGGCTGAGGGTAGGGGAGGCATCAGAATTAAAAGCTAGTTTTATTGAAGCTGAAGACCAACTCTAATTGCATTTCCCCAGTGTCAAAAAAGAGAGGGGCTGGCCTGGTGGCATAGTGGTTAAGTTCCCAGGCTCCGCTTCGGCGGCCCAGGGTTTGCAGGTTTGGATCCCGGGCACGGAGCTATGTACTGCTCATCAAGCCATGCTGTGGTGGCGTCCCATACACAAAAAATGGAGGAAGATGGGCACGGATGTTAGCTCACCTCTTTTTGCGGAGGAAGATTGGCAACAGATGTTAGCTCATGGCCACTCTCAAAAAAAAAAAAAAAAAGTAGAAGGTTCCATCATCCTTTGACCAGTAGATGAGATCTCGTGGCCACGTGGCTTCCTCAGTTAAATTTTCTTTGACAAGAGTGTGCTAGGTTTGGATTAGAGTTGTGGGGTAGGATTTGGAATGAGAAGGAAGAGGATACTCATGGGTTTGATGGCTCAGATGGCAGTTTCCTCTAATGCTCCTCCCTCCTCTAGTTACCGAAGCCCAGTGTTTAGTGGGACAAAGTACGCACCTAAAAGACGACTTCCCAGCTAGGTTTATAGCTGGGTTCCACATGACTAAGGCCTGGCCAAGGAAGTGGAAGCAGAAGGGTGGGGCTTGTGGGAATCTGCTCCAATAGACCGTTCCTTCCTCTACCTGCTGCCTGGAAAGCGGCTGTGATGGCTGGACCACTGGTTCTGGCTCAGTCTTGGGCCATGAGGACAACTCAGCTATACCCTAGAGGTGGTATTGTATTGAACTCAAAGGAGCCTGAGTCCCTGGTAATGTGGAACCACCAAAATGGCCCCAGTTTGCTTACCCCTAGACATCTTTATTTAAATGAGAGAAATCCTTCCTTTAAGCTATTACTGGTTCAGGGCACATGTCACCTTCCATATCCCAAGGAGGAAACCTAATCCCAAGGAGGAAAAAGATTTGCAGCAGGGGCAGACAGTGGGTGTGTTGTGGGGGATGGCCCTGCCATGGCACCCTGGGAAACCAGAGGAGGCCCAGGTGAGTTCCTTGCCCTCCAGGGTGTCAGAATCTAATCGGAGGCGAGACATTGAAACAGTAAATTAAGTAAATTCCATTTCAAAGCCACGTATAAAGAGTGGTCCAACCAGTCATGTAGATGTGTGCATAGCAAGTCGAGACGAGTTCAGCTGAGATGGTGGTAAAATAGGCGTGAGACACAAAAGTGACATTCAAACCAAGATGCAGAATTGTCTGAGGCCCTTGAGCGTGGTCCCACAGAGAGGGAGTGCGGTAAGAGGATTAGTGCAGAGACTGATTTGGAGGGAGATGCTCCTGGGCTTCAAATCTCAAAGCCCCCTCCTTCCTCACCTCAGGCCTGGGTAGAGGGCGCACGTCCCCTTGGGCCCTCACAGAGCTTGGAGTCTGTGAATCACTTTGGCCTGAGAAGCTTCACGATAACAGCTGTGGGTGTCCCGGTGGGACAGTAGGTTTGGGAAATAAAAAGTACAGACAGCATTCTGAAGGGCAGACCTCTACTGGCCTCCCAGTATCCATTCTCCCCTCCTTCAGGAACAAGAGAAAGTGGGTTTTTAGCTGGGAAAGCAGTCAGATGAAAGACCAGCCTTCCCGAGACCACCTAGTTAGGGTGGCCTTGCGACTCAATGCCCAGTGAAGTGTATGAGGAAGGGCTGTGACACACTTGGGGGAAGTCTCCTTGAAAGACTGAGGCAGCCAGTCTTTCTTTCCTCCTCCCCTTCTCTCCTCTCTTCCAACCTTCCTCCATCCTGCTGTTTGGAAAGCAGGTATGAGGGTTGATATTCTAGCAGCTCTATTGGGCCCTGAGGCCCATTTGGCCACATGTGAGGGATAGAGGAATTGAAAGGAGGCCCTGGGGTCCCTATCCACCTCATGGAGCCCCTCACCAGCTTTGGGTGATCCCCCTCTGACTTCTCTCAGGGGAGCAGGGAGTACACTTCCATCCTACAGAAGCCACTGTAGTTTCACAGCCAAACGTAATCATCAGTGACAAACTGGAGAAAAGTATGTGCAAAAAAGGACAGGCATAGTATTTCTTTACTATATAAAGAACTCTTACAAATCAGTAAGGAAAACAATCAATAAGAATCAGATGAAAAAAACAACAGCGCCAGAAAAGAACAGGCAAATCAAAAATACATATGGAAGAAAGGAAGGAAGTGGGGAAGAAAGGAAGGAAATGATGCATAAAGTAACAATTTATTGTAATGGACTTAGCTAAGGTCTGCAGTGGACACTGTGGTGGTGTCCCCACATCCATCGCCCCCCACACTGTGTAGCAGCCACTTAAGTGATGGCGAGGTACCATCCTCCACCCCATCAGACTGGTAACAGCCAGGAAACCCCAAACGCCCCAGTGTTTGTCAGGATGGGAACTGAGGGTGCAGACTGCCTCATAAGGGAGACAGAAGAAGGTGGAGCGAATGGGGGTCGGAGCATACTGGGGAGAGGTTTCCTTGGAGAAAGCTGCCCCCGCTCCAAGGCCCCTCACAGGGAAGAGTGTGAGCTGCCATCTCCCTTGCCTCTAGCCCAGACAGAAGGGGCTTCGACAGGACCTGCTGAGCTCGACAGGAGGCGCCTCGAGTCTACGAGACACAGTGTGAGGGGACATGAAGCCCAGGGCTGTGCTGTGCACCTGGGATGGCTGGGCGAGGGAGCGCTGCTGCCCGGCTGAGAAGGATCTCAGTCCCCTCTGACGAGCAGCAAAGTGGCCTGAACCCTGGACGGGAACTGGACAGAGGGCCAGCAGGACTGAGGGACAGGGCAGGAGGAGGGACAGTGCCGCTGGGGGAACCCTTAACTCAGATGCAAGCCCGTTTCCCCGGCTGAGACTCTGGCCGAGCAGGGAGCCCGGCCTGGGGGCGTCTCAGGCACCGAGTGATTGAGCTCCTGGCAGAGACCAAGAGGACGGTGGAAGTGGTCCTCAGGGTTCCTCTGAGTCACTAGGGGAGCAAGAGCCCCCCAGAATAGGCGGTCCTTCTCCAAGGCAGAAAGACTTCAGCAATGCTGAGGGGCCTCAGAAAACCCACTCAACTGCCCCAGGAGAGAAAAAAATCACCAGTTCAGAGAGAGAAAACTCCTCCTACCAGAACACTCACCTCCAAAGACTCATGGTTGAGAAACTCAGGGGAGATGCAGGTGGGTGCAGGGCACCAGAGGGCGCCTCTGTCCCCTCCAAGATGGCGGCCTGCCCGGCTGAGGGAGAGACAAGACACAGAGACTTCTAACATGTGAGGCTTTGGGGGGATTGAAGTGAGTGCAGGACTGTTTCATCTCGGAGCGAGCACAAGGTGTCATGAAGGTGATAGAGTGCCCCCAGTGAAGGGGCATGGAGGGCACCCCGTCCCGCTGTCAGACAGCATTGGCTCTGTGGGTCTCAGCCAGGTGGACTGACCACCCCAGTTTGCCCAGGATTGAGGGGGTTCCTGGATGTAAGCCTTCACTGCAAAGATCAAGGAAGTTCCAGAGAAACTGGGACTAGGTGGTTACCCTGCTCTCAGCCCAATTTATGCTGCAGACCAGTAAACTCTAAACCGCACTGTGGTCTCTGGAAATAGGGAAGCAGGGAGTGGGGAGAGGCTGTAGCCATTAATACTGAGAACAGGAGCGCATCAAGCTGTCTGACAGGCCCCAGCGGGTGGACATGTTTCACCAGCCACCAGGGATGCCTGAGCACTTGAAGTGTGGCTCCTGTGACTGAGAAACTGGGTTTTCATTTTACTTTAATTAATTAAAATCTGAAGAGCCACATGTGGTCGGTCCCTGTTGTAATGGATGGCACAGCACAGGGAAAGCCCTGGTCCAGCGGAAAACCGGAAATAAGGAAGTCTCGCCACTGCCGGGACCTGAGTGTCCAGAAGGAATAGGCAGCGCCTTCTTAGCAGGATTGTGTCTCAGAACCAGACAGGTTTCCACAGTGACTGTCCAGCACAGGACATGAAATGCAGATGCTCCACTTCTGTCTCCTAAGGAGAGAATGTCTCCTGCCCATCAGGGCTTCACTGAGGCAAAGCTGGAAAGACCTTGCTCCTTGACTTCCCAAGACCATTAGGAGACTTACCTGCTTCCTCCTTGAAATGTGGCATAAGAGGGGCTTGAAACTGCTCTGGGGAAAACCGCCCTCAAGTAAATGTAGACGTACTTTAGATCTAGATGTGAAGAATCTCACATCCTGTTGCGCCACCCTTGGTTAGAGCCAAGGCCCTGCTCCCTGCCTG